GAGATTTCTGATTCATCGCAGAAATTCCAATACGCTTACGCGCGGACATTAATGCGGTTTACGCGGAATTCCCAGGTGTAACACATCGATCTTTCCTTCTTGAATGTGATCACGAAGGTTTCTCTTTCTTCAATAATTTTAACCCTTTGCACTGGGAACAATTTTCAATATAACCTACCAGCAACTCCGAGTCATTTTTACTATCGACTCCAGACTATTTATTACATTGAAAATCTTGCTTTGTCATTAAAAAGAAATGTGAATACATTTTTGAAAATATGTTTTATTAATACAATATAATTAAAAAAATTACTTTTTGAATTTCTTCATTTTATGGTAAAAAGTGATAATAATTTTAACACAATTATTTATACAAACTAACAGTATAGGCTTCCAAGAAAAACTAAAGAATATTTAAATTCAATATATAAAGTATTTAAATTCAAAAAATAATATTTCTTTTTTACGTCGCTGCTGAGGCGACCACGGAGTAGTAGCTTAATACAGTGTCGCCTCTGCGGCGACAACGGAGTGCAAAGGGTTAATTTCATTTTCAGAATCTGTCGTCTCAGAGCTCTATTTGGACATGTGCGAGACGTTTCGTTTAGAAATGTGGAAATTAATTCGCCATCTTCACTTTGAATTTGAATATTTTTCTCGTACCCTCGTAGTGTTATCACTACGAGTCAATAACCATCTATTTCATTTGGAGATTTCGAAAGGAAATTCGTAGATATTGAACTTGCGAAACGAAAGAGTAAAAAATTTCAAAGGAAACAGTTAGAATCCACGCTTCATCATTCTCTGCTTGTCTGTTTATAAAACTAGAATAAAACGAGCAGATCTGGTAAAATATTTTTTGTAACACAACAAAGTCGATCATTATGAACGACGATATTTATGAACAAAGTGGTGCATTTCGAGCTACCGAGTGACACCCGTGGTCCAAACACGAGACGTATTCGATCGACAGTGTGTGTTTGGCGGCGGCTAATGAAAGAGAAAATAATACGGAAGGCATGAAAAAGCGTGTAGACGACCGCATACAAGTGTCAAAGGGAGGGTCTGTCGCTCGTCAGCAACTGATTCAAGAAAGAAACCACCCCGTCACAGAGACATCAATAACTTGCAGCCGGCTATACGAACCGAAATACACGTTCAGGATATTTCTGTTCAGGAGTTCGAATTCGTCAAAGCTAGCCTCTTTAGTATAATCATGTATCTACATATGCACGGGATCGTTTCAACGCAAATGAAATGGAAATAAAACTTGAATCGACGAAACTGAAACAGGAAATAGCAATTTCGTCTAAATGAAATCCAAAGCAATTTTCAATTTCCTCGAGAGTCATAATCAGTGATTACTCAGTTGATTGAGTAATTAAACTCGAGTCGGTCTTGTACAATTAACGCTCCCCGATCGAGCGACCAAGAATAGAAGAAAACAATGAAGAAAACTGGAAGAACGAACAGTCGCCCTACGGGAAGCCAAGAAAGACACGTTTCGTGTAAACGAATCGTTCTAATGGGGAAGTTAACAAGCAAGAATTCGACGAGGAGGAAGTCCACCCCGCGTTAAACGAAAAATCCAGCGGGTAATCTGGCGTATCTAGCGTGAGACGTAAAAAATGTCGGAAGGGGAGGGGAAAGAAATTGAGGAAGAAGAGCCGCTAGGGTAGAACGAAAACACCATATGCTTACAGGGTGCGTTACAACGAAGGGTCTTTTCTTAACAGGAATTCATCAAGCCCCTTGCCAAACCTCCGTCGTGCTTCGAAGAATGCACTCTCGGCGCACTTTTGGGTTTTCTTCTTCTTCTTAATCGAAAAAATAAAAAGAAAAAACCAAAAAAACCGTCCATACATCTTCGTGGCAAATTTCTATGTGGATACAAGTAGCTGATGCGCTAAAAATAGACACGGCTATCGCGAGCTTATCGTTATCAATGAAAGGCTGAAGTAGAACAGCAAACCTATTCCCGAGAGCGTGGCGCACCCGGTATATCGCGTATCCCCGTTCCGAAGGAAGGTAAACGACACCTTTCAACGGAAATGCTATTGAACGGCCTTGCTGCTTTCCTAATCAGCTAATAGACTCGCGTGCTTACGTAATTAATCTAACACTAAGACTGAAGGAGTATCTTGACACAGGACGTGTATTAGGTTCGATGATGAGACGAGCATTCTTGGGAATGCTGTTGATGAGCAGGGAAAAGGGAAAGGCAGTTGAAATTAGGAAAAACGAACGAGAGATCACGTTTCTCAAGAGTGGAAGTTTCTCTGAAAAAGTGACGCTTCTGCCTCTTTGCAACCTAGCGCCATTCAGGCCAAAGAGAGCCGAGCTACTGATCTGTCGGAATCCGGAAATGGCAAGGGATTATGAGAGGCAGCGCGCTTTATAATTAGAGCGCGAACAAAATCGTGTAGAGCCGGCTTGAGGACCGCCTAGAATTTCTTCGTGTCGAGTGTGTGCCACGCCAATGGAACCGCTCAACTCGTACTTTTTCCTTGGTTCGATTTTATTATTGCAATGATGCATTTTTCTCTCGTTTTCGCGCCGATTCTTTTGCTCAGAAAAATTATAGCTGCCGAGGTAATATTTATTGGCAAGTCGAGGATTCAGAATGGACTAACGTTCTCGCGCACGAGGAAGCGCGAAATATGCTAATAGCTCGCGCGGAGACTCCTCAAGTTCTTCCCCTTAGTTTCGTCACAACGTCTGTTTGACGTCTGTTCATTAATTTTCATGCAAGCCCACGTAGACGTGGCGCATGACCTCGGTTTGAATGGTGGCAGTATCGGCCAGCCCCAGGATCTCTCGCATAATAAATTCCTTATCCCCAGAAGTCCATTGAATCCCGAATGACGGCTCCCTTCTTCACCCCTTTCCCTGCTGGCACGTGCTTTTCGATTCTCAGCTGCCGTGCTGCTTCTCTACAGGGTCCTCAGGTGCTGTTGCCGTTCCAGCACGTGTCCCCACTCTCTGATTTCCGGCCGAAAAAAGAAATGAAGGAGAAAGAAAAAAAAGAAAGAAAAAGAGGAAGAAAAACGACGAAGGAGGATCGAGGCGACGCTTAGAACAAAAACGCTGAAACCTGAATGGCGGGCATT